AATTGGAAACCGTCCTACACGTGACATGGCGACCAGTGTTTTGGGAGAGCATCATTGCCACTGCTCTTGGCTGCATCCCCAAGGATGCCATCCGTAACGCCTCTGTCTCAAGCGCCGGATCAACCCGTTGATTGAGAACCTCATATTGAGTCTCCATTGGGCCGTGATTATGAGACAAGTTCAGACAGTCTTTGCTTGTCGGTTTGTGCGCTGAGATCCTGAATCTACACCCAATGCTTTTGTTCCGAGACAACCACTGTCAATTCGTATCCGGCTTGTTTCTATCCTCTCCAGCCAACAAGCATCTCAAGTACCCATTCTTCCCTGGCTTTGAGCTTCCTGTTACAAGTTTATAGTCATGTGCCCGTGCCCATGCCTCGGCAAACCTCTTCAGTTCCTTGTATTCGTGGAATCTGTATAGAGGGGGGGGGGATCCATCAGATCTTCAAGGCACAGAGGTCAAAATCAGCCCATTGACAGATTATCCCACTTACTCTCCACACTAAAGTCAAAATTCTCCACATCAAGGGAAGTCAAGACACAACCACTGGGTGGGACCCCTTCAGCTGTTGAGACCTCTGTATTATTGAGTTGCATCCCTGATAGTGGGGCCTCCAGAGCCTCATCTGTTGCAGGGCTTCCCCCTGAGGAAAACAAGCCTCATGAGATTAGTCAAAACCATCTTGCACATAATACCAGCTCAGAAGTTCTTGCCAAAAAAACCCACCTTCCACATCTCCCATCTCCAGATCCAGCCCCATAGAAGTCGGTTGTTCAACAGCAATAATGCACCCTCCAGCCACAGTACTATCAACTGGGCAAGTTTCTGAGGGGGCCAAGAGCCACACATCAGCGCCTTCTGGAGCCAAGGGATCAATTTTGGCTGGACCATGCGGTAAGAAAGATGACTTCAGCTCGTGGAAATTGGCACTTTTATTCCCCAAGTCCCAACCCAAATCTGCACAGCTTGCCCCTGGCTCATCGAACTGAGATACCTCTTTGGGCATGGAATTGTGTGTGTCAATTTTGATTTGACCATCATGTACCTCAAGCCTACCAAGATTGGACCCATGGAAAACCGGTGTGGAACTCCTATTGTGCCAGGCGGTAGGCAGCCGGTTGAAGGGAAAGTGCTTTGAGGGCTGCCTTCAAGTGGGGTCCGGATGAGTGAGCTGTGATCTGAACAAAAAGCGTTGGGGTTGGCTGGTTTTCTGAGAGGAGACAACAGAATTCGATTTCTGTGGCGGTTGTTGAGGTTGAGGATCTGTGAAGGTGAGTATGAGGATCAGATGAATCAATGATAAAAAGATCAATAATATTTGATGGGTCTATCTTGGATCAGATCAGAGTGCCATGCCTCCCCATCATCTCAGTTCAAACTCAGGATGCAAGTGGGTCGGGTCGGCCCGGCGGGGCCCCGCGACCCGGCGGGTCTTGGGGCGGGTTTGGACAGACTGTGGGTTAAAGCTGACCCGGACCGAAATCACCTGAGCAGTTACCGGGGCGGGTATGGACAGATTAAATCTTTGATGGGCCGGCCCAATTTTGGCCCACCGACCCGACAAAATAGGGGATTCCCTGGCACCGTCCGATGATCGGACTACAGGGATATATATATTTTCATTATATCCTAATCGGATCCCCCAACAGCTGGTCAGACTTCACCCACCAGCACTCCAAAGTCCTATCCTCAAGATGCCTAGAGGAAAACAGTCCCGGAGCTCCCAGATCACATTGTCATCCACCAAGGGGACCAATACAACTGGTCCTCCTAACGATCAACCCACTATGAGTTCGAGCAGTGATTCCAATTCCGATTCTGACTCCGAAGCAAACATCAAGACTCGTAAGGGATTATCTCAAGATCCCCCTCCTACTGCCCCAACCCCCACTCCATAAAATAAATCCACCAAGAATACCAGAGATCTAGCTTCAAACCAAGATTCTGAAGCAAGTACTGAACCCGCCAGCAAGAAAAGAAAAACAACAAGCGATGTATGGGCTCATTTCAAGGAGCAAGGATTGGGTAAGAATTCTTTACTCACTTTAATTTATTGATGATCGAACTGATTTTTCATCCATGATTGTACTTTGAACAGGAGAAAATTTGAAAGCCAACTGTTGCAGCTGCAAAACTCCCTTGAGTGGTCGAAATAAAAGCGGAACAAACCACCTCTGGCGACACCTCTCTCAATGCAGTGATTTCCAGAATAAGAACAAGCAAATGCTTCTCAAGACAACCTCCGGAGCTGCAACTAACTGGTTGTTTTCTCAAGACGAATCCCGCAAGATCTTAGTCCAGATGATCATCGCTCACGAACAACCATTCAAACTGGTTGACAATCCACTCTTCCGCAAGTTCATCGCTTCCCTTCAACCTAAATTCAAGATTTTCTCACGTACTACTGTTAAGTCCAATGTTATGAACCTTCACATGTCAATGAAGAAAGATCTTGCCCATAAACTCACCGAGGTTGATTGAATGGCGTTAACGACTGATCTCTGGACGTCATCAAATCAAACACCCTTTATGGTTGTCTCAGCGCACTACATCTTGGCCGATTGGACTCTCCAAAAACGATTAATTGGATTCAAAGAACTCCCAACTCCACACACAGGTCTTGCGATTGGAAAAGAGCTTCTCAACACCATTGACGAATGGAATCTTGTAGATAAGATTGGATTTATAACGGTTGATAATGCTAGTGCTAATGACGTAGCCGTTGCTCATGTACCATCCTCCCTGAAAGAACAAAGCCGGAGGGCAATTGAATTCAATGGCGATTTTTTTCACGTTCGATGTTCTGCTCACATTATAAACTGAATCGTGAAGGACGGCCTCAAGCATTTATCTGCGGCGATAAGTAAAATTTGGGAAAGCATTTGATATTTGAAAAGCACTCCATCTCGTAAGCAAGCCTTCAAGGATGTGATCAAGCAAGCACGCATCAAACCACGAGCCCTCCCTTTGGTCTATGTACCCACCCGATGGAACTCGACCTATGAGATTCTTAGTAGCTCTCTACCCTACAAGGAGGCATTTGATAACTTAGCAGTAGAAGATGCCAACTTCACAACTTTTCCCACCACCGAGGAGTGGGAAGAAATTCAAGCAATGAATGATTTCCTTGAGATATTCAAAGAAGGTATGTTTTATAAACAGCCACATTGAAACTTGGAATGACGAAGTATCCGACCGCACATCATTTATATTACACAATGAAAAAAAATTGATAAGCACCTCAAAGATGCCATCAAAAACGGATCCGAACACATTGTGGCATTGATTTCCCCAATGCAACAAAAATATGACAAATACTGGATGAAAATGAGCGACTTTGCGGCGATCAATCTTGTGTTTGATCCTTGGTGCAAATTGGAGCTCATCAATTTCTTACTCTCAGACAAATTTGGTACTGAGACTGCTGCAACTACTCTGAAACACATTAAAACAAAGATCTACGACTGGTTTGACAACCTCACTCGCCAACAGAACAAGCAAACCAATCAAGAAGCAACAACTGGATCCAACACCAAACGGTACAAATTGACAGAAGATAACAATGTCGATGATCGATTCAAAGCCTATCTTTCAGGAAAAAAAACAACACAGAATGCGACCTCACCATCAGCCAAATTGGATCTTTATCTTCAAGAATCAACGGTTGACATCGATAGCCCCTCTTTTGAAATATTGACTTGGTGGAAGGTTAACTCAGTCCGATTTCCAACTCTTGCATCAATGGCAAAGGTGATTCTGATGGTTCCGATGACATCAATAGCGTCGGAGTCAGCCTTTTCAACTGGCGGTCGGGTACTCAGTGATTATCGGAGTCGGTTGAAACCCGGTACACTCGAAGCACTCAGTTGCGCTCAAGATTGGATCTACCACGAAGAGGGCCTCTACGAGTTCAATCAAGATGAACATGACAACAATAAAGAAGCAGAAGTTGTAGTCATATCTTAACCTTTTCCTATTCCTATTCCTGCACTCATTCTATTCTACCGGGCTTGTATACACATGAAAATAAGTCAAAAAAATTGCTCCAATTATATTGAATGCTTCCATTTCTCTTGTTTTCACTCGCTATGACTAGTAAATACATGCATAACAGTCAAACAAAAATTAATTATTGAGGTTGACTTCTCCCATCGCTCCAAGGCATTGGGCTGGCTACGACCCGCCCCGGACCCACCCCGGCCCGCCACTCTTAATAATGGGGCGGGTATGGCCAGAATTTTCTTACTTCCGACCCGGGATATTAGGTGGGGCCGGTTTGGGCACTGTTTTTTGGCCCGAACCCGGCCCACTTGCATCCTGAGTTCAAACTGAACTTTGACTCTGGGGAGTGACATGTCACAGACATGTCATCACATCCCTAACTACAACACAACTCAACCAAAAAACAAAAACAAGACCACACTACACAACACTACACAACACAATACACACAACACAACACAACACAGAACAAAACAAAACAAAACAAAACAAAACAAAGCAAAACAAAACAAAACAAAGCAAAACAAAACAAAATAATCAAGAGTGAAATAAACCAACATCCTGAGATGTCTTAGGACCAAGAAAATTGAACAAGACTGTCTACTGAGTAGGTGATTTGAAAACAATAAGTAAGAATAATAAAATGATAAAAAATAAAATGAAGATGAATAATAAAAAAAAACATTCAGAGTAAATAATAAGAGGAAATGAAGTAAAATAATAAAATGAGGAAACCATTGGACTGAGTGGGGATTTGAGGTGATATTTTTGAAATCTTGAGGCTTGAGGATATTGAAAAGTTGAAAGTTGAAATTTCAAATTCGACCTTGAGGGGGCCTGTACCGTTTAGAACACCACACCGGATGAACACCTGGGTGCTCGCCGGTATGGACAGATCCCTTGGAGTCAACCCCTCTAGTAAATGGCTGTTGGGGGGCGGATGTGTAGCTGGGCTGATCAGATGTTGCAGCTCAACTGGGGCGGGACCCATAATTGACTAGTGGATGAGGGACATTTGTCTGGATTGGCCAATAGGTTGGCTTGGAGTGACCAGCAAAGAACATATGTTGAGAAGGGGGCAGGGCGTATATCGGCATTGACGGATGGTGTTAGTATGGGGGCCAGGTTGGCCCATGGGGGCCAAGTGTGATTGCGGAGCAGCTGAGTAGGGGTAATGAGGTTGTCCAGTGTATACCGGGCCTGAGTGTTGGTAGGATGTTGTTGGAATGTAGCTCATCGGTGTGGAGTAACTCATATAATGTGGGGGGGGCAGAGTAGGTGATTGGATGATGGCCGGAGTGGGCCAAAATTGGCTGCCAGGAGTGGTTTCTAGACACTGCAACAGGGTGTGCTGGGAACACAGGGGTATCTTGCTGCCCATCATGGGCTTGAGCCCCAGAGGGGTCTCTTTGCCTTGAGATGTGGTGAGCTGGGGTGCCCCCAACAGCGTGCGGGAGGGAGGGAATGTGTTGGCTGTTGCCTGTCGGGAGGCCAGAGTTGTGTTGGGTCTGTCGGTTTTTGTTGCCGCTGAGTGGTACATTGGGCGGTGATGGTTGTTACCACCACTCAATGCATTTGTGGATTTGTCAGACATATCTGGGTGAATCTGAACCCAAAGGCATAATTAGATAAGTAACAACAAATCAGCCCTGTGGTGACCATGAGGGGGCCAAGTAGGCAAGGCAACATACACACAGAAATTCAGTGATTGTGATGAATGGTCACAGGACAGCGGAGGGGTCAGACCTGGATTGTAGGAGAAAAAACATTGTGGTCAGTCCAAGAAATCATTAAGGGCAAGGGCAGGGGTGCCGTCTGGGAACCCCCTCTACAACTGATCCCATAGGGATTTGGGGGCCAAATGGGCCAATGCAGTGCCTGAGCACAAGCCTGCAAAGGCCCAAAAAGGTGTCTCCAACAGGCCTTGGGCTGTTGAAGGCCCCCAACAAACACCAGAAGTGGATAGACCCAAAAGGGTCCTAGAGGTCCATTGCAAAAAAGGCCCTTTGGGGGCAGAAACACCCCAAGGGGGCCAAGGGGCTGCATTTGGCCCCTTGTGGGGCCTTTTGGCCAACAGAGACCCAAAAAAAAAGTAAAAAACATAAAGTTTGGCCCCTTTAGAGGGGTGGAGACCCAAAAAAAATTCATCCTTACAATTGTTTACCCCAGGTACCAAATTTTGCGTTCCGGATTGGGTCGGATCGGGCCGGATCAGCTGTAAATTGGGTGTGCCTCAGTTCTCCTGCTTTGAACAGGTTTTGGGGGTTGCTGTGGCGGCTGTCTGGGTTCTGTTTGGTTTTGGTGGCCGGTTGTTTGTTGGTCGCTCCGGCTACCTCTCTGGGAGATGGTGGTTGAGGGTA